CAGAAAATTTCCCCCATTAATCAGCATCCAGTGCTCAGTGCCGTTCTACATTTACTTGAGATATCAAAATAATTATCACGGTCTCACTATACTCACGGTTTCAGACAGCTCTTAAACATGAAAAACTTAACTTGAATTTGTACATGTGCAATAATATCCTCTTTAAATATCATTATACCCCCCGCTTGAAAAGCGGGAGGGTATATAGTAATCGGTATTTCCGTCCGTCCGTCCGTCTGTTACGCTTTGGGGTACCCATCTCTTATCCGCAACTCCTCTCATACCACTGAATGAAATTTGATGAAACTTTCACAGAATCTTTATTACTTATTGCCATTGTGCACCTCCTATTTTACTTTTTGATCCGACACATATTTTGGGTCTCCCGGCCACAGGAAAACATGGACTTTTTCACCAGTTAAAACCATATGGGAGGCGGGGAATATCATTTAGTGAGCTCATCGCTCACAGTACCTCTAGTTTGTAGAAGTGTCACTTAAAGACGAAAGATAGTACTAATTGCCGATTCATTTACATTTGTTTGTTTTTAACGTATTTTTGAGAATTGTTCTCTGAAATTGAGACGTCATCATCTGCCTATGAGCATTTTGCTAAAAAGATAAAATTGAGAAGTCATCATCTGGCTCATCTTCGCTAGCCAAGGTGACGATCCACGGTGTTTCTCTATTCATATTCATATGAATAGAGAAACACCGTGGATCGTCACCCTTGGCTAGCGAAGATGCCGCATTACCAAATATTTACTTTTGATCTTGCATATTTATGTTACCCCCGCTCCGAAGATGAGGGGGTATACTGTTTTACCCTTGTGTGTCTGTCCGTAACATATTTTGACGCAGTTTCCTCAGCAACTACTCATCATGGATGCTTGAAATTTTAGCACATGTCGTATGGTGGAATTCATTATTTTTAAAATCCAGTGTCAACTTCCTGTTTATCTTTGCATCTGTCCGAACCATACATATTTTCCTAACAGTTTTCTCAACAATTACTCATTGCAGATGCTTGATTTTCTAGCACATTCTTTTGCGAGGCATACCATGTGGTGGGATTCATTTTTGTTCAAATAGGATGTCAACTTTCTGTTAATCCATGTCTGTCCGTACCATACGTAAAAGTTATTCGTCGCACTTTTCTCAGCTACTTATCATTGCAGATGCTTGAAATTTTATCATACCCTTTGCCGAGTCATGTCATATGGTGGGATTCATTTTTGTTCAAATCCGTTGTTGAGGGACCAGGCAAAATTTATCAAAATGATGGGACCGGTACAAATAGGCATGGGACAATGAGTTTTTTTCATCGAAAAAAACCATGGGTCTAAAACATTTTTAGTATTAAATACCCATGGGACACAAACTTTTTTTCAATAATTAACAGTATTTTACCCAAGAGAAATATTCATTAAATTGAAAAAAATTTTTTTTTTTCAAAAAAAAAAAATCTATTAAAAAAAATTCATATCTTTAAAACTCAAACGAAGGCAAAAGAAACATGAATCTTCAATTAATGGGAAATATTACAAAGTGACAAGCATTGCTAACAAGGATTATGAAAATGAACAGAAGTTTAAATACCGAAGTTTAAAATATCTGCAATCTGAAAAAAAAAATCCTTAGATTTGTTGCAATAATCTCATTATTATCAAGATGTACCCGGGTTAACCATGGGGCAATAACTTTTTTATAAGTCTCTAAAAGCATGGGACAGATATTTTTTTTAATACGAGTGTCATACTTTTTTGAAATAAGAATTTTGTTTTGTACTGGTCCCATCATTGTGATAAATTTTGCCTGGTCCCTGACTTCCTCTTTATCTATATATCTGTCCGTAACTGAACTAATGTATATAAACATGATAGTGTATATGCACATCAGAGCTGTGGATCCCGTGGGGATCCGGGTTAGAATAGGTCCTCAGTACCCCCTTGCTTGTCGTAAAAGGCGACTGAATGGGGCGGTCCTTCGGATGAGACCGTATAAACCGAGGCCCCGTGTCGCAGCAGGTGTGGCACGATAAAGATCCCTCGCTGCTCAATGACCCTAAGTGCCGAGCATAGGCCCAAATTTGCAGCCCTTCACCGAAGAAGGCAGGGCATATTGCTTTGCTGCTGTCTGTCAGTCGGTCTGTCGGTCAACTTCGTTTCCGTTCATTTTCTTCGCAACCGTTGCACATACTGAAATGAAATTTGGTATACAGATACACCACATACATATCTAGGACAAGTTCTGTTTTGGGTACGATCGAATCATTTTTGACAGAGTCATGCCCCTTGGACTTAAAGAAATTTCAATTAATTTCAGTTTCCGTTCATTTTCTTCGCAACCATTGTACATACTGAAATGAAATTTGGTATACAAATATTACATAAATATCTTGGTCAAGTTCTGTTTTGGGTACGTACGATCGCACTATTTTTGACAGAGTTATGCCCCTTGGACTTAGAAAAATTTCGATTATTTGCAGTTTCCATTCATTTTCTTTGCAACCGTTGCACATACTGAAATGAAATTTGGTATACAGATATGTCACATTAATATCTTGGTCAAGTTCTATTTTGGGTACGATCGCACCATTTTTAACAGAGTTATGCCCCTTGGACTTAGAAAAATTTCGATTATTTGCAGTTTCTTTTCATTTTCTTGCAACCGTTGCACATACTGAAATGAAATCTGGTATACAGAGATATCACATTAATATCTTGGTTAAATTCTGTTTTGGGTACGATCGCACCATTTTTGACTGAGTTATGCCCCTTGGACTTAGAAAAATTCCAATTTTTTGAAGTTTCCGTTCATTTTCTATACAACTGTTGCACATACTGAGATGAAATTTAGTATACAGATTTATCAGATGAATATCTAGATCGAGTTTTGTTCTGGATACAATCTCGCCATTTTGCACAGAGTTATGCTCCTTGGACTTAGAAAAAATTTCCAGTTATTTGCAGTTTCCTTTCATTTTCTTTCCAGAGTGTGCACATGCTGAAATGAAATTTGATATACAGATTTATCAGATGACTATCTTGGTCAAGTTCTGTATTCGGTACAATCGTGCGGTTCTTGACAGAGTTATGCCGTTTTGGACTTGGAAAAATTCCAATTTGGGGGGAGGGGGGTCATAATTAATATACATGTATTAACAATATGTGTTCACAATTCACTCTGTTTTCCAATCTTCTTTGGAACAATCTCAGATCTGCTCTTATTTGACGCCACTTCATGCTTATTATAAAAGGAAGGAAAACAGATGAAATGTTTATTCTTGTACGTCAATGAAATTAGATTCTCTTTATTTTTTTACTACTTGATTATTTTAAAACTTTTGCAATAAAATACTAAATAAAATGCTAATACCTCTGTTGAAGAAGTCTTAAGAACCCTTTTGTGAAGTAATGGCGGTGGAGCCTCCACCGCCACCCTCTGAGGTTGAAGTGGCCCCTGGGGTAGTAGTCTTTTTTGATTCTGTACCTTTGGATTTTTTTTTTTAAAATAGTGAAATTGAAGTTTATCTGTTAATATGTAAAAACTAGATGCTGTCATGAGACAGTAATACCCGCACTAAGGTGTCTGTCTCTAATTACACACTCCTACATATTGGGCTCACAGGTACTTGTGGACAGGACCCCCCCCCCCCCAATATATGACCCCTACCTTGTAAAATTTTTTTTTTTACAATTTATATTTATTACACTTCCTTTTCAAATATACAATGCGAAAAATTGAGTTAAAACTCCAGATAACCGTTCCGTACAAAAAATACCCCTCTATACATAATAAGGGAGAAAGGTATGCAACTCCGGTTTGTTGACATTTTACCTTCGTGGTATTTCTGTGTTTAAAAAAATACTTTTATTTCAAATCAACTCGAAATGCCGGTTCACGCTGTCTCTACATACATTTTAGTTTTTGATTATGCTATTACAGTGGCTTTGCGTCTCGTAAGAATCCCACAATTTATCCTCAAACACGATCTTAGCTGGCAGTATGATTTTTCCCTCAGTAAAAGCAACGGAAGTAATGAAATCGCGACACCTACGAAAAGGCAGATAACTCGCGCGGAGAACGTCTGATGTTCCGAATGTTTAAAGCATTACGATAACTCCCGAGGACGGGCACTTTTGTTTTACGCGCGTTATTCAAAGAATAAAAAACAGTGAAAATCAGAATGACCGACTCATCACATTATTTAATTAACTGGATCAACGAGAATATTGAGGAAGGGGACGAAAATGAGTATATTGAACTTGCAGATATAAAAAATAAGTGTGTCAATTGTAAAATAACAAGTACAGCAATTGCCAAAATTATTAGCCAATTTTTTAGAAATGTGAATGTAAAAACTGGACGCTCAAAAACTGACTGGTGTAAATTGACCAAAAAATACTATGGAATTCACTGGAAAAATACAGACTTAAAAATATCATTCAATGAAGTAAAAGTCCCTGATGATTTCTTTATCATGGCAAAACAACAATGCTACTTAAAAGTTGGTCACTTGACAAGCACTGTAGTTAATGGAAGCCAGGTCCTCATTGAAATAACACTTAATTCTGATTCTACATGGAGTCTTTTCACTATGGGATCAGTTATTAACCCAGTTGACCTTGGACTTGATAAGACATATAACTCTATGACAATTTTTGAAATTGTAAGAAAGTTGCGGTACTGTGATGGTGTACAAAGTGTTGTTCCATCTAAAAACAAAACTTCAAAAATTTATGTAGAGCATGTATCAAAGCTAGGTGATGAAAACAGCCCTATCTCTGTGCGGTACAGATCAAAGTCCTGTACAAAAGTGTTGCCCTTTAAAACATCAACACTGGCATCAAACTCCTGCCCTCCATGTAAATATCTCAACCAACTCCCAAAAAATAAACAGGTTGACATACCTAATCCTTCTAATTCATCTCTTAATGAAAAATCATTCACTGTAAATAAGCAATCAGATGTGGAACTTAATGAAGAAGATCACACAGACATGCACACAATCTTTAATTCATTATTCCCACAATGTACAGAGAAAGTTAAATCATTTTTGATGTCCCAAAAATTGGCTTTGGAGAGACATCCCAACGGACGGAGGTGGAATCAAGATATTGTCCGGATGTGCCTCACTTTGTGGTGTAGAAGCCCACGGGGGTATGCGGAACTAAGAAGTAGCAATTTCCTTGTACTTCCTTCGCAAAGGTTGCTGCAGAGATACAAAAACATCATTCACCAAGAAGCGGGCATCCACTCCAGCATGTTGCACTGGATGGCCAGTGATGCAAAGATGAAGAACCTGCCTCCAGAGGGTTTCGAAGGGGGGTTGATATTCGACGAGATGGCTCTTCAACCCGACCTGCAGTTTAAAAAAAAAGACGGTGATATACAATTGATAGGGTTTACAGAGTGCACCCCCGAATCAGTAATATTTGACCAAATTAAAACAAATAAGAAAGAAAGGACAATGGCCACTCATGTCTTGCAGTTCATGTTTTTGGGCTTCACAGGATTCAGGTTTCCCTTTGCTCATTTTCCTTCTGCCACAGCCTCTGGTCATGAATTGTACCTACTTTTGTGGAAGGCTGTAAATATGTTGCTAAATTTTGGTTTTAAGGTCCAATATATTAGTACTGATGGCGCCCAAACAAACCGAGACCTCTTCAATCTCTTACTGCCTGATTTTAAAACAGTAGACCCAGTTACTTGCTCTTTCAAGAACATTTACTCCTTTGATAATTCTAAGATTTTTTTTATCATGGATATATCACATGTCATAAAAAAGATTAGAAATAACATTCTGAAAAGTGGGTCAGAAAAACACTGCACAAGACATCTAAAGGTTGGGGATAAATTCATTGAATGGAACCATTTCAAACAAGCTTATTTGTGGGATATCTCATCTCATCCCTTCCCTGTTCATAACAGCCTTACCCAAGAACATTTGTTTCTGAATTCAGAGGCAAAAATGCGCAATCATCTAGCAGAACAAGTGCTTAACAGTGATATGCTGCATTTGATGGAATTGTACAAGAACTTTCTAGGAAGCAATGGTACTAAGCTGGATGCTACTATTGACCTCTTAAGATCCACAAGCGTATTGATTAAAAATTTTAGAGACCATAGGCCAATTACTGAATGCACAGATGAAAGACTTACAGAAAATCATGACGCACTGGACTGGTTTGTTAACTGGGAAAGGAGCATTCAAGAGGATGAATCTGTGAAGAACAAAGAAAACTCTTTAATATCATACCAAACACGACAGGACATTGTCTCGGCTATTTTGGGGTTTGAAGAACTTTGTGTATATAAATTAAAAAAATCTCATGCATCCATCATTCCTAGCAGGTTAAACAGTGATATTGTTGAAAATACATTCTGCCAACAGAGAACTCTCCACAATGGAGCAAACACACATCCTACATACCTTGGATACTGTCACTCTTTAAACTCTGTGATTTTGGGACAAACTTCAATTTCCAGAAAGTCCAACACCGGTGGAGAATGCGCTACTTTGCCACAAACTTGTCCACTGCCAAAAAAAGTAATATCATATTTATGTAAAATAATTACATAAAAATTTAATTACAGTGCATACATAACATTCAGGTCTTTGTCATATTATAGCAAATTATCTAGAAAAAAAATGATAAAAAATTTTGTTTTTTTTACCTCTTTGTTTACCTCTCCCTTTTCCTTTCCTTCTAGAAGTCCTATTCACTTTTGCTTGACTTGTTTCAGGTTCTGAAAGAACAGGTGCAGAATCAGGAGGTTCAACAGTAATTGGAGACTGGTTAACTCCACTGGGCCCTGGGATATCAGGTTCAACAGGGGCTGTCAATATTTCAGAATGTTCCAATTTCATTATGTTTTCTTTAATCACTTCAATTATGTCTATCTTTTTCTTTCTTTCAGATACTTTGACTTTGAGATTTTTACAAATCTGAATCAAGATTTGCTTGGTAAATTGATTTTCTTCCAAAAATTTGTCATTCTATATAAGCTCAGATTTCAGTCTCAGAAATGAAGCTTGTTTATTTTCAGACTGATCTTCAATGTAAAACTTCATGTTAAATGTCTTAGGAGTTTTTTTTGTCCTCTTGATAACTTTTTTGCGAAGAGCTTCCCCTTTTTCCTTTTTTAAATGTGCCAAATAATCCTTCCTGAACTGACTAAGGTTAACTTTCAGGAAGAGTGTAATTACATGTTGAAAAGATTGAAGGCTCAGTTCACATGAGCTTACCATTCCACATAGAAGCTTGGAAATATCTGAGTCCATTTCTTCTTCTGTACTGTGTTTTCTGGAATCTATAACACACTGAACCCACATCTGAAATAACTCTAAATTGTTAGATAATTCAGTTTTTGCTTTGTCAAATAAAAATTTCCCAACATGCACTAATTTTTCATGTGTGAGCATTTGGCGACAAAGTAACTCTAACTTTTGAAAAAACTTGAATGTCGAATCAGAAATGTTAATCAGACTTCCACGTGCATTTTGTTTACGTTTGGTTTCATCTAAACTTCCAGGATCACATGACGACATTTGTAATTCCTCATAAGAACAACATAATGAGTTGTAAATTGTCATTTCATTTTGATACATTTTCAAATTCATCTCTTTTCCTTTAGCAAAAATTGAATTTTGTATTTTCTTTGATGTGTTGTGTTTTAATTTTGCCAGCACATATCCACTAACATAACGCAGCTTGCCTCTTCCACTGGTATCAAGTTCACATTCTGCTGCTGGTTTTTTCAATGGTATGGGATCAGACAACTGGAGATGAGGAGTCAGACTGAGAAAGAAGTTTTCCTCCAAGTGAAAAAGAATGGATGTCATAAGTCTACAATAAGGTCCATTCAAGTCCTGGTGATAAAACTGCAAAAGATTCATAACACTTTGTTCAAACTCATCTGAATTTAAGTACTTATTAAATGTTGTAAAGAAGGTATTTCTGTTTGCTTGGGTGAATTTGGTTTTACCCTCGGGAAATGAATGCAGTCCAATGTTTTCAATTTCAGACCACTGATTTTCAAACCATTGGTCAAACTTGTAAAAGTTTTTGTAAATAGCATCTTTGAAATTCATCATGTCATTTTCTACAGGGGTGTCTTTAAATTGCTGTAACACACTTTCAAGTGCAATTCTAGAAGCTGAGTGTGATTGTTCATGAAAAGAAGAATGTGGCATAGCAGGTCGTTCATCATCATCAGGGTCAAGCATGTTTAAAATTTCTAAATTTTCTATTTCTGATTCTGAAAAATCAGAGTCAAATTCAAAGTTTTTTAAGTTGCAGAGGGTGGGTGGATTTTCATTGCCGTCACTATCTTCAGAGTCTTCTTCATTTTCTTGTTTAGAGTTTATGCAACAACTCAGATCATTTTTTACATCACCGATTGATAGACTTTCATAAAATCTATAGACATGGTTAGGGTGTTTCTTGCATAAATGTTTTTTAAAGTTTAAAACTTTTAATCCACGGACTGACACAGCTCTCCCTATGGCAACGCCAAGCTGACCGGGTTGAATACAATGCTGGCAATTTACAATTACATTTTCAAGTGTCATGCCTTGTGATTTATGAATGGTAATGGCATAAGCCAATTTCAAAGGTAGCTGAACACGTTTTGCCAATACTCTTTTGTCTACAGGGTCAAATGTGGTAAAGAAATGAGGAGTAATGTTCACAAAGACTGGTTTATTATTAATTTCAAACAAAACATCAACTGACTTTTCATGAAGGTGTAATACATGTCCTCTTAGTCCATTAACCAATGTGGAACTGATATTTTTTAACAACATGATTGGGCATCCTATCTTCAGACCCAAGTTCTTTGGAGCAAGAAATTTGTTCAGATAATGCTGTGAGCCTTCATCAATACTAGTATATACTTTGAGGTCACCGGGCACAGTAAGTAATTTATTGTAATTAAACATATCAGTGTCCAAGTTACGTGCAAACAATTGAATACACTGTTCTTCATTCTCAATAGGGCGATTTAAGGAATTTAGGATTGCTGCACTATGATCAGACAGCTCACCTCTCTCAAGTTCATTAATGCAGGTAATGAGTTCGGGATTGTCCTGTCTGTGTACCACATTCAAATTTATTTTGTGTGTAAAAAAATCAGAAAACCATGATGCTTTGAAACAGTGGTTACCTGGGTCACCATGAAGCTCACTTGACACTGGTGGTAGTTGAAAAAAATCGCCAACCAATATAACCTGAATTTTTCCAAATGTAAAATTATTATTTCTGATGTTTCTACATATGAATTCTACCTGAGACAGTATTTTGGAACTTATCATCGAAATTTCATCAATAATTAAAGTTTCAACTTGCTGGATATTGGTTTTGGCACTTAAAAATCGTTCATCGGTATTTAAAAGATGAAGAATTTCTTCGTTAAGATATTTTCCATCTTCAATTCCCGACCACCTGTGCAATGTTTGAGCTGATAAATGGCCATAATGAGTGGCAGCAATGCCTGTTGAACAAACTACTGATACTTTTTTTCCCTGCGATTCACGTAAGTTCTTCACTATTTCTTTAATAAGAAATGTTTTCCCAGTCCCTGCCTGGTCTGTAATGACTAAATTGTGCCCACTTACAGATAAATCATATGCTGTTCTCTGGTCCTCGTCCATGTTGTCAGTTCAAAACAAAAGTGCCCGTCCTCGGGAGTTATCGTAATGCTTTAAACATTCGGAACATCAGACGTTCTCCGCGCGAGTTATCTGCCTTTTCGTAGGTGTCGCGATTTCATTACTTCCGTTGCTTTTACTGAGGGAAAAATCATACTGCCAGCTAAGATCGTGTTTGAGGATAAATTGTGGGATTCTTACGAGACGCAAAGCCACTGTAATAGTATAATCAAAAACTAAAATGTATGTAGAGACAGCGTGAACCGGCATTTCGAGTTGATTTGAAATAAAAGTATTTTTTTAAACACAGAAATACCACGAAGGTAAAATGTCAACAAACCGGAGTTGCATACCTTTCTCCCTTATTATGTATAGAGGGGTATTTTTTGTACGGAACGGTTATCTGGAGTTTTAACTCAATTTTTCGCATTGTATATTTGAAAAGGAAGAGTAATAAATATAAATTGTAAAAAAAAAATTTATTTGGGGGGGGGGGGGGGGGTCCTGTCCACAAGTACCTGTGATTGGGCTTTCCAAGGAAAAAGTCATATATTTACACTGAACATGTATTCGTCAAATTGAGTATGAAATTCTCAGACCCTGTTACTATGTGACCTATGACTCAGAGCCTATTATATGTATTTTGTATGCTTAATTCATTACCAGTTTAAAAAAAAGAATTTAATTAATGATGTAAATTAGAATTTGATGAATGTTTTTCTTATAATTGGAACTTTTTAAATTTACTAATACCCCCCCCCCCCAACCCCGACACCACAAACACTCCGCACGTACGTTTTTTTTTAAATAGGTAAGATGTAAAAGTTATGTTAAAAAAAAATTCTGCATCACATTTTCTCAAAAATTACTGGGCCAATTTCAACCAAACTTGGCACAAAGTATTCTTAGGTAAAGGGGATTCAAGTTTGTTCAAGTGAAGGGCCACGCCCTTATTCAAGAGGAGATAATTAAGAAATAATGAAAATATGTGACCTATGACTCAGAAAATTCATTACCAGTTTAAAAAAAAGAATTTAATTAATGATGTAAATTAGAATTTGATGAATGTTTTTCTTATAATTGTTTACTATTTTTTTTTTTAAATAGGTAAGATGTAAAAGTTATGTTAAAAAAAAATTCTGCATCACATTTTCTCAAAAATTACTGGGCCAATTTCAACCAAACTTGGCACAAAGTATAAAAGGGGATCTTCTCAATAACTTCTTCTCAGAACCACTGTGCCAGGAAAGATGAAACTTTTAGGGAGGCATCCTCAGGTAGTGTAGAATCAAATTTGTTCAAACCATGACCCTTGGGGGTAGGGCGGGGCCACAATGGCCGATCAAAGTTTTACATAGAAATGTATAGGTAAATTCTATAAAAATCTTCTCAATAACCAGTGCCAGGAAAGATGAAACTTACAGTCCTCACAAATCATGAACCCCGGGGATAGGGCGGGGCCACAATGGCCGATCAAAGTTTTACATAGAAATATATAGGAAAATTCTTTAAAAATCTTCTTCTTAAGAACCATTGTGCCAAGAAATATGAAAATAATAGGGAAGCATCCTCAGGTAGTGTAGATTCAGGTTTGTCCAAATCATGACCCCGGGGGTAGGGCAGGGCCACAATAGCTAATCGATGTTTTTCATAGAAATATATAGGAAAATTATTTAAAAATCTTCTTCTCAAGAATAACAGAGGCATGAATGATCATATTTTTATGTAAGTATCCTCAGGTAGTGTAGATTCAGGTTTATTCAAATCATGACCCCTGGGGGAGGGCGGGGCCAAAATGGCCGATCAAAGTTTTACATAGAAATATATAGGTAAATTCTTTAAAAATCTTCTTCTCAAGAATAGCAAAGGCATGAATGATCACATTTTTATGGAAGCATCCTCAGGTAGTGCAGATTCAGATTTATTCAAATTATGACCCCTTGGGGGTAAGGCGAGACTTCAATGGCCGATCAAAGTTTTACATTGAAATTTATATGAAAATTCTTTAAAAATCTTCTTCTCAAGAATAGTAAAGGCATGAATGATCATATTTTATGGAAGCATCCTCAGGTAGTGTACAATTTGTTTCACATTTTCTATAGGGCGAGGCCAAAATGTTAAATCATGACCCCAAGGGGTAGGGCGGGGCCACAACATGGAATCCAAGTTTTACATAGAAACATGTAGAAAAAAATATTTAAAATTCTTCTTTTCAAGAATAGCAAAGCCATGATTAGTCCTGTTCATATGGAAGCATTCTTTGGTAGTGTAGATTCAGTTTTGTTCAAGTCATGACCCCTGGGGGTGTAGGGCGGGGCCACAATGTAAGTTTAAATGCGAAGGGCAATAAAGTCACAGGTAGTCAAAGAAATATGCAAGCATCCTTAGTTAGTGAAAATTCAAGTTTGTTCAGATCATACCCTCTGCCTTTTAAGGATTGGTTTAGACCACTATTGGGTTTAAACTTTTCAATTATAAACTGATTTCTGCTTTTTTCCTATCCACATTGCTCAGGTGAGCGATGTGGCCCATGGGCCTCTTATTAAAAGATGTCATAAATTTACTAGTATCACTAATTCATAATTATCTCCCTTTAGAAGGCGTGACCCTTCATTGAACAAACTTGAATTCCCGTCACCCAAGGATGTACTTTGTGGCAAGTTTGGTTGAAATTGGTCCAGTGGTTCTTGAGAAGAAAGATGAAAATGTGAAAAGTTTACGACAACGACGACGACAGACAACGGACAAATTTTGATCAAAAAAGACACTTTTAAAAAAAAAATTTATTTCAGTAATAACCTAAACAGAAAAAAGTTTGTATAACTTTATTGTCATAAAATTAACAATTGAAAAAAAGAAACATTTAGTACACAATTGTTGATGCAACACGGATTGTACACAATGCATTAACATTTTAAAAGGTAGGAAACAAAAAAAAGCTGGCTTGAAAGATTACTGTATAATTGTTCATTTGCGAATCTGGAATGTTGATAAATTGTAGATTGTAATACGTGTAGGCCAGGAAAAACTATACCTCTGCATAAATTAAATTGTTTGGAAGAATTGACATCGCTAAGTGAAAAGCTTTTAAGTTATTACTGGCACATCTCTTAGGTCTTTGAAATCCAGTTTTGTTCTTTTGGGGACCGAACTAGAAGTCTTCGCAATTCCAATACGATTCACATTTACTTAAGTGAACTCTTCTATGTAATCCTACATTACTATAAGGCCTCTGTGTCAAAAACATGAAAACATTCTAGCTTGTAAAGAGTGTTATAAAGATGTATATATTAAATTGCAATGTTCGAAGACAACGACTGTAAGCAGAGGCAATAATATACGTAAATAATTGTCTGAATGGCTCCACTCTGCAAGCTTCAATCCGAGGTTCTTTTGAAGACTCGAACGCATTTGACGTCTCCAACATACATGGTCTGAAAAGGAGATAATAAAAACGAACATTTATTACATTGTCGGACGATAAATGGTGTCCATCACCATTATCTAAGGTGGCAAAAAATCATGTGTATTGGCTAGCATTCTTTTCATTGTCACGTTTTCTTAAAGTAATAGTTTTGAAGAATTAATTCATTTTTTAAGCTAAATCTTCAGCTAGCTACTTTTTTTACGCCAGGTATGGAAAGAAAGGGACTTCATATCGCTAAATTGTCACGCTCTTCCAATAATCTTACACCATAGTAATAATGTTCATGATACCTTCCTCACCTGCACGAGTTCATCATTACTGATTTCTCTGATAAATTTCTGTGGTTTTCCTTTTCCTTCAGCGATAGGGTTTGCTTCTGTTATAATCTTGCCATTTTCCCAGCGAGACATGCACTGTAAAAAGCACTAGACGTGTATATGGTTTAAGAGATACCGACGTAATCTTTCTGTTGTAAAGGGCTGTTTAATTACGCTCTATGAATAATAAACAAATTTTGGGATAGAAGTAATTCAAACTTTCAAGAATTGTGAAGTGCAACTTCTTTGCATTTCTCTTAACAACCTAGACCTCCAAAACAGTGTAATTCTTTTGAAGTAAATTCACTATCTAATGGCTTATTTTATTATTTCAGATAGCTTTTTGAACCACTTTGAAGTATTCTGGATGAAGAAAATCTGATTAAGTCTCAAAATTTTATTACAAGTACCCTTTTTCCTTTATAATTGATTTTTTTTCTTAAAAGAATTCATGAAAGACAACAGCATATAACGTACATTCATCTCAAGACCCTCATAGTTTTGTTGGTAAGGTTCATCAAGCTTGAAGGAAATGACTTGATTGAAGAAGCTGACTTTAGACACGATATTGACTGTATCGTTCTCAATCTTTATTTCGATCACCGGGTTGGCAGCACCGGCCATTTTACGAAAAACCACATTGAGTCCTGTCGAATAAAACAGCATGATTTTTATCATTTACAGTCTGTGAGGCAATATAACACTGTTATTGGATAATGTCAAATATGTATGCTTTATGGTTTTTCTCATTCATAATTGATGGAAAAAGTGCCACAATTTACACCCACTCATACACTTCTTTTAATTGACACGTCAGTATAAAAGTTTGAATTGGCTTACCAATTTCAGACTGTGGTTGAAGTAGATAAGCTTAACATATTGATCAAACTTAATGACAATAGAAAGTACCCCTGTAGCACTATTGACTCTACCTTTGAAAGTTACATAACATTTGGGGTTGGCAGTTATTAACGGAAAAAATTTATCTAGTGTCTCAAAATATTTAAGTTACTGCAAAATGTCAATTCGTTTAGATAAATATGCCTTGAAGACTTCCTGTGGGTTTGTTTGTAATGATTAGATTTATTTTACATATTGATCATAAGGAGTAATGACGAAAGGCTGTTATGGCGAAAAAAAAATGAATGATGATGCAGACATTTTTTCAAGAGAACCGCAACAGTGGGTATTGGATATTAAGGAGTTAGTCAACAACCTATATAAAGACATAATTAGTTCGATGATCTGCACATTAGACAGATGGATCTAATAAGCGAAGTCTACTGAAATTAACATGAACAATTATATTCAATCTTTTCTCTCACAGTA